CGGCACTATATGATCCAGTGACTTACGCACCATTAAATCTTGGTGCGATTCTAATCTCCTATGCCTCAACCTTTCAAAAACTAAAGTTTTGTCATATAAAAGTACTATACAACCTTTTGTACTTAATAACACCACTATTGACGTCGTGGACTCTGTGAGATTCTTCGGACTTGTTGTGGACAACTCGTTAAAATGGGACTTGCACATCGAAGCCTTATCAAAGAAACTAAGCTCTGCCTGTTTTGCGCTAAGATCAGTGTCTAAGGAACTTAACTCATCAACCTCTAGAATGGTCTATTATGCCCTTTTGAGTCGCATCTTCGTTATGCGCTTCCATTCTGGGGTACTTGCTGCGCGACAAAATTTGATCGTATTTTCAAACTTCAAAAGAGAGCAGTTCGATACTTATTGGGACTAAACAGTAGAACTCACTGCCAGAATTTCTTTAAAAATTTCAAAATACTGACTCCTCCTTCCTTATTCATTTTTGAATCCGTTTGCTTAAACCGCAAGCACATATTCTCTATTCCGGAAAAGCCTTCTCACAACTATCCACTTAGGAATGCACGATATTTATCTGCCAACCCCGAGCTCAGAACTAGTTAAGGGCTCAATACTGTACAATGCCAAGAAAATGTACAATCATTTGCCTTCGAATATCAAGTCACTTTCATTCTTTCCCGCATTTTGCAAAGCTCTGAAATCATACCTACTGGAGAGAGCCCTATATGCGGTAAACGACTTTTTTGTTGATGTTTAATCATGAACAATTTAGAATTTTAATTTTAATATTTTGATCATCTCACACACTGGTTAAAGGTCTAGTATTTAATATTTTATAACTCTTGATTTTATGTTATTATAACATGATTTTATCCATTTACAGTTTTCCTTAAAATTTTCTAGATACGCCTGTGTTCTGCAATGTCCATATATGTTTTATTAGTAATTTTATGACGTAACTTTTTTTTTGAATTGATTTGTATTGTATGACATTTTTTTTATTATTTGTATATTTATTTTTATGCTTTTTTTGTTTTGCTTTGTCGATGAAGCTGTTTTGGCTTTTTGTACAATAAAGCGTGGTTTTTTTTAGCTTCAGCGACGGACTGGGATGTGCAGACTTGCCAATCACCACAAGTGGAATTTTGTGCTTACCAGATGCATTGGAACATGCCATTATGGTTAATCTTTCCTTACTTCTTTTGTGCTGGAGTGCTGTTAATCTTTCCTTACTTCTTGGAGCTGATTTTTCCTGTCGAGATGCCAATGTTTTTGATGGAAGCATTTTATAATTCAAACCACTTTCGTCACAGTTATAAATTTGATCACATGTATACCCACAATCTTTGATTAGCTTTTTAAAGTCCTGTTTAAATTTTTTAACTGATGACACATCAGCAGAGAGTTTTTCTCCATATATAGTGAGTTGTCGTTCACCGTACCATTTTTTCCAGCGGTCAAGCCATCCAGAACTGCCGGTAAACCTATCTGTTTCTGGAAATTGCTTTTATCATTATTGTTTTCTGCTGCAAAATGGGACCTGACAGAGGCACATCTTTTGATCTTTGAGAGTAAACCACGTGAATAAAGTTAACTTTTTCATAGTCGCCTTTTTTCATTGATTTTCTTCTGGAAGACGAAGAGGCTTGTTTTATACACCATTCTTCTATTTTAGTGCGGTTTCTGTTCCAGTCTCCAACTGTTACCTCACCTACTCCATAATCTAGTGCAACAATTTTAATTGGCTTTCCTGCTTGAATTCTCCTAATAGCTTTTAATTTTTCTTCAATAGGAACGACAATTCTTTTACGTTTGTTTCGTTCCATTATAATACGGCAAACGAAAATTTAAACAAAGCAGTTGGTATACACTTAACTAGAACTCCACCCAAATAAATAATGCAAGTACATACGTATACTACTTCTCTGTAGTGAACGCAATAACGAACTGCATTCACTCAAATTTACATGCTAAAAGGGTCCAAAAATATAAAGAAGGGGAACCACTCACACGGGCCAAGGGGATTTCCCGTCGGTCCCAACGATTTTAAATGGAAATATGTAAATATACATATAGTATATTTTAGAAGCTCGGTTAATACGGAGAATAGACGCGCGACCTCGGATAATCAGGGTCTTTAGATTGGATCGGTTAATCCGGAGCTCGGATAATTGGGATTCTACTGTATTTCGATAACTTTTTCCTTTTCAACCGATTTAGTTTGTTTTTGGTTTGCTTTCATATTCATGTATGTTTATTTGGTTACTATATTTTGGTGCGAAAAATTAAACAGGGCCGGTCTTAGAGGGTTTCTGCTACTTTTGTGTAAACTTAGAAAAGTAAGTAAAGAGACCACAAAGCAATGAGATTTTTGAATGTCCGGAATGCGGTAGGCAAATAACATCACGTATCGGGCTTTTCAGTCACAGAAAAGCTCATGAAAGAAAACGCCTTGCGTGACCATCTTTTGATGCGTGTCGAATACTCGTCAGCGAGTAATGGCAGTATGTATTGTATGTGTAAACTTTAAATTTTTGGTTCACCATAGAATTGGCTTCTGTATTTTGAGAAATTTTGAATCAAGTAAGTCAATAATTTTAGAGCATGTAGCTTCTTGCGTTATAAAGTGGCACGTTAAAACACCAATATTAGGTGTTCTTCACGTTGGGATGATAATAAACGAGATAAAAAATATATTGTCAACGCTACTTGTATCTGGAGATTGTAGAAGCTACAGACGTGGACTTGAAATTATTGGCTTACTTGATTCAAAATGCCTCAAAATACAAGTATTTTCCATGGCAGACGGTTCTTTAACGCTGTAAATTTTTATGAGCCTTCTGTTTTTTTGTTTTGTTCTAAAAATTGAAAATAACAAAATTCAAAATACAGGGTGTCCAACTTATTTTTTTTTGAATGTTTTTTTCTTTGGTATACTAATTATATTAACTTTAATTTGGTATACTTTTTTTTGGTACGAGAAATCCGATTCTGACCTAGTTTTTAATGTGGTCGATAGAGGGCGCTCTACTGTATTTGTTATGGTTTAAAATTATCATATTCTTTTTCTCAGGTATGTATTTAATTTTTTATAAGAAAACTGGATTTTCTGGACATTTTTATACAATTTTATATTTTTATATTCTAGATAAGGAGGACTAAAAAATGGAGGTAGAAGGAGAAGGAAGAAGAAAAAAAAAAGTGAAGCAGAAAAAGAACGAGAAAAGAAAAAACTGCTTCTTAAAAAAAGTGCGAAAACTTGCCAGAATATTTCTACATTGTTTCGTGCTAAAAGTGACAATAAGTTAACTTCTAAACTGTCCAAGTCTAGGGAACAGTCAGATCCAAGCATTCTTCTAATGCATTCTTCTGAGCGTTCTTCTGATACATCAGGCTAAAGCTGACAACCAATTTCACGAGTGTGAGAATAGTGATAGTACTGATACGGACACTAATACCCTCGAGAAATTACAACTTGGTCAAGGAGAAATGTAGTAAAATACCAACAAACTCACCAACAAATTATGCAGAAGAAAATAAGACCCAGGCCATTGTTTCTGAAATTGTCTTTAAGAATAGCCCACATGAATCACATGTGAAATCACATTGAAATTTCATCCTAAGCAATCTAAAGTTACAAATAAACGATATAATGTTCAGTTAATCTATTCAAAAAAGTCCGGACTGGGTTGCGACTTTCGATTTTAAATGATTATTTACGTATACGAAGACTTTCACATGAATATTTTCGTGTACGGTACGTAATAACTATTTTTGAATGCCATTCGAGTAAATGTTCGTATACCAAGAAATTTGCAACCGGCAACACTGCACAACCGTTTGGTTTTTCCAGAGATATAGAAGGTAGGAGAATGAGTTTCGATGACTGCGCATCCACATTTTTATTTTTGCCAAGTGTCCGCCATTTTGAAGGCGGCTTTTGACATTACCCCTACATATGTCGGTTTGTTTTTAATATTTGGTTTGTTTCTCGCTGTGTTTATATGATTTTATTATATTCCTTTTTGTTTATAATTGAAACAGTGTACTTTAAACATGTTTTTGTGAATTAAGTTCCTTTAGTGGCTATAAAAATAATATACAATGTCGTGTTCAGTTAAAATGTGTAAAAATGTTCGAAGATTTAAGGAGACGTTTCCTTTCATCGGTTAGTATTTTATTGTTTATTTTTTATAAATTTGCATAGACAGGTATAATTTGTTTAACTTTTACTAGATTCCCAAGAGATAACACACAACAAACTTGGTTTAATGTGCTTAATATTGAGAGTACAAATTGGATTTGGTCCAAAAACAAACTAGTTTGTTCAGAGCACTTTCAGCAGTCTGATTATATAATTTTGGGGAACAAGAAACAGTCAAAGAAAGGTGCTGTTCCAGAATGAGATAATGGGCTTTAGACACATTAGAAATAATCTTGAGATCCTCATTTATTTTCTTCCCTGCCATGTTCCATTCATCAGCGTTACATTACAATATTTTAAGTAACTATTGAAATCAGATGTGTATATTACGTATAAAAAAGGACCCGAGAGAGTTCCCTGCGGAACGCCCCTACCAGTCTATATCTTTTACTATTCTATATATAGTATCAAAATTATCAGGAATACACTTGATATTTAAATAATTTTGAAATGTATTTATTATTTTAGAACTCAGTGGTATGATTCTATAATAGTCGTCTGAATAGCGACAGCAAGCGAAAACGAAGCATAGCGATAGCGAGATTGTTTGCTTGATGTATTCTATAAGAACCTCTTATCGCTATCGATATGTAGACTTGGCAACGTAGTAAAAATAGATACTTAGCGAAAGAGGAGCAATAAAATCAGAAACGAAACTAACCTAACTTTTTTGTTTATGTCTTTGTCAGCTGAACTAATCATAGTTATTAAATTTTCCGTCTACCTATCTTTTATATATTTGAAGTGAATTGAAATTTATAATTGGCTTTAAGTCCCAGTCACTTAATTTAATATGTTGCCTGTTCGAGTTTTATTGATTCAGCAGATGGAACGCGAAAATCAATTAAGGCAGCTTCGTGAAGAACACAGGAGGCTTCGGGATATAAGCGACCCATTTTCATTGCCAGATATCCATTTTATTCATCTTTATCGTGTCAACAAGGATTTGGTAAACCATCTATTCCAAGAACTTCGCCAATATATGGACATAGCATATAGAACATCTCGTGTGAATTATAAACAAAGAATCCTCGTAGCACTAAGATTCTATGCTACTGGGAACTACCAAAGAGGCGTTGGCCAGGAGTATCTGCTAGCTGTAAGTCAGCCAATAGTTAGTAGAGCTGTAGAGGAGGTTTCCAGGATTCTAGTACTTCACTTTAGTAATAATTGGATTCAATTTCCTAATGCAGAGAGAAGAAATGCAATAAAGAGAAATTTTTTTGAATATTGTGGGGTCCCAGGAGTAGTTGGTGCTGTTGACTGCACTCATGTAAACATTTTGGCACCTACACAAGAAGAACATGCATATATTAACCGGAAAGGTTATCATTCAATAAATGTGCAACTAATTTGTGATGAAGATCTGAATATATCTAATGTGAATGCAAGATTTCCTGGTAGTTGCCATGATGCTTATATCTGGAGGCAATCAGCAATACGTAATATTTTGGAGCAGTTCTATCTAAATGGTGAGCAAAACACATGGTTGCTTGGGGACTCAGGGTATCCTCAAGAACCTTGGTTGATGACCCCAAATCTTGGAGTTTTACCAAATACTCCAGGAGACAGGTACAACCAGGCTCATGCTAGAGGAAGAAATTGTATAGAGAGGACTAATGGAGTACTCAAAACAAGATTTCGCTGCATATTAGGAGAACGGGGCTTAAGGCACAGTCCAGAAAAAGCAGCAAGCATTATCAATGCCTGCTGCATTCTTCACAACATGTGTATCAGAGCAAGAATCCCTCTGGAAGAGAATGTTGAAGAGGATCCCAATGGTCAAATCAACATTGATGAACCTCCACCAGATCCAGTTTCCTAGATGTGGGAAGAGCAGTGAGGAATGCAATGATTAATAGATATTTTAATAATTAATACTCTAATTTGTAATGTTTTTTGTAAGATATAATGTTTTATGATTGTTATTTTTCTCATGCTTATCTATGTCTTCATTCTCATGAGTAGCTCTTAAAAGTTTTGTTAGTATTATGAAATGTATTCTTTTTAAAGAATACATTTCATAATAATATTAACTTTCAATAAACCTTCATAAGACACCAGTATAAAAGTATGATTAGAGAAACTTGTTAGAGAAATAAGCATTTATACATGCCTTTTAGTTAAAACTGTAGGTATATTAATATTCTGTTTACATTTTTGAATATTTTTAAGTTTTTAACTGGCCTACTATTTAATTCAATATACTAATTTGTTGGAATGATGTGTAACATTATCACAATAATGGAAATAAACCTAAAAAATCTATGTTTCAGTTATTTTTAGAAACTTTATTTAAAAAAGAAAATAGGAAACATAGACTCGTAAACAAATGTATTTTCTTGTATATATTTACTACTTACTTGTATATATATATATATATATATATATATATATATATATATATATATATATATATATATATATATATATATATATATATATATAAATTAAAAAAATAAATCTAAAAAATCTACATAAATACAAAAAAAACAAGAACACAATTTTTATAAATATAAAAATAAAAAACAGTAACATTAACTCAAAACTAACCTAATTTAAACTTAACTTCTCTAGAATGGAACACATTCTTTCTTGTGCATCTGCCATTCTAGAGAGGTTTCCATTTATTTTATTTAAAATATCCATGGTTTGGTCCTGACATATCTGAATATCAGATTTCTTCTTGCACATTTTAATTGATGATTTCTTCATCTTTTTCTTTGGTTCCAATTTTGCTGCCTTAAATGGCTCTTCCTCAGGAGCTGCTCTTTTGATTGCAGCTAATGGTGGTGGAGATAATGTTACAGGCAAAGGCAATAGTTGCTCTACAATTGCAGCTGGATCCTCCTCAATTTCAGCTGGCACTGCTTCTTGTATAGCAGCTGGTAAATTTATATTCTGAAAAAAATATCATTACCAATATGACATATAAAATACCTATACAATTTTCTTATAAATATCATATAATATCATAAATATCATAATTTTATATGAACTTTTCTCAAAAAGTCGATATTAACGGATATACAGGGTGTCAAAGTTTTATTTTAATTTTTGTTTTTTCGGTATAATTATAATTAGTTGTGAAGAAAAAATAAAAATAAAATATTGACACCCTTTATGTCCGTTAATATCGACTCTTCGAAAAAAGTTTATATGAATTTGTACTATTATTTTTACGTGTACTCTTCATTTCCGAGAGATAAACTTACAACTCCCAACTCTGGGACATTATGTCCTTCCACTGAGGTCCACCCTATAATTTGAAGCAATCTCTGCTCATTGTTATTTAGGGGGGGCATTGGACCACCTCCTCCAGTCTGGGTTAATCCTCTATTTAATTCAGCTGCTTTTGCCTTCACTTTAGACTTCCAGTCAGTAATTGCCTACGAACCAATAATACGCTTTGTAATTTTAGTATCTGTTACTGTATATCTATGTATTATTTTTAAGTTTGCTTTGTCAACAAAATCTAGTACTTATCTAGTAATCTAGTATTTTAGACAATAAAGTATTTTTGACTTTACTTTGAAGCTCTAATTCTCTAATTGCAATGATTCAATGACAAATTAAAACCTAGGTATCGAGTAAGTGTCAACTTACAAATTTAAAAATATTAAATTTGTAAGTTTTTTTTAAGTTTCTTTTTTAATTATGAGAATTGTTTGATTATTAGGTAGGTACCGAATCCATACTCTGTCAATAATTCATAAAAAAATTGTATGATCCCTCCATTGGTACTTTTCTATTGTATTCACACTTGAATCATAATAATGTAGTATTATTGAATCATAATAATGTAGGTATCATAGTAATGTAGGTATGAGTAATAAGTTACCTTTTGCCATTTTTCCACGGATTTCTGTTGAAATCCCATACTGTTAAGGTGAGATGACACTTCTTTCCACAAATCATTATATTTCTGCTTGCTTCCCATGGAGCTGAATTTTTTAGTTAATATCTCTGGGCGTTTCTCGACAAAATCGAGAAACATGGACCATTGAAGAGGATTTGTTTTTACTCTTTTCTCCATTTTTTATTGTATATATTTTGTATTATAAGCAGTTTCTCCTCAATAAAATAGAACCAAAAACAAACTTATTACTTATCACCGGCAAACAAATTTCTTAACCTCAAATAACAGCGAAATTCTCAAAGCGTCAAGCAGTTGGCCCGCGTTATCGCTATCGTGACCGAATGGTCAATCGACTAACGAAATTTGCCGAGTGCGGTTATAGAATAGGAATCTGCCGAGCGCTATCGATAGCAACAACGCATTTCTTGCTTTGTTGTTATAGAATCGCACCACAGATCTTCTTTTTTCTCAGATCATTTTCTGGAATGCCTAAAATTTGTATAGAATTTCAGTTTAAACTTTGTTCCAAAAAATCACACCTATTCTCCAAGTTTCAAATATTTTGTGAGTTGGTTGTTATATTTGTTTCAACTGATGCAAGAACACTGGTAATTTTATCAAGTTTTTCAGTAATAGAGGTGGATAAATATTCAATTTTCTTGTCAAGTTTCGTCACAATCTTCTCAGAAAAATTCGCACATACCTTGTTGATTAGGTCTTCCATTAAGTCTTCACGACTCCTAGTACTTGGTAGTACGGGGGAGGCGTCTTCAAACGAGTATATTGTAATGGAAGGACTAGGTACAAAACCACGTTCAAAGTTATGATTATTTGTCTGTGAGTTCAAAGAACAAGAAGCAAATACTGCGGCACTATTAACTAGTCCATATAACACTACAGCAATAGAAACAATTTTATGAATTAATTTTTCAACAACATATGATTTAAAGCTGGAGCAAAACGAAATCCGTGTTTACTCGACAACGGTCATATCTCGAATGAACATATCTCGTATCACTAGCAAACCCCACTAAATTATTCAACGGTATTTTCTTCTTATCAAACACAGATCTTAAATGTTCATACAAATCATCAGCTGTGCCTGAACTAACTTCTATCATGTCAAAAAACCTAGTCATAATTTTATTTGTTATGGTACAGAAATAAATAATTGTAAATGTACACTGTTTTACTGTGCCTTTATCCGTAGTCTCATCCATAATTCTAAAAAAAGAAAACCCCCCGTTTGTAAAAGGGAAATAAGTTCTTCTTGAATATGTTTTCTTATGTTTTCTTTGATTAGGGATGTAGTTTTGGTCCTCTTACAAGCAATATCTTTCGCAATCTTACTGTCAGCAAAAAAAATTCGCAAGTGCCTATTGTTTCCGCCGAAAAGAATAATAATGGGTGGTAAAGATGATAAAATTCGATCTAGCTAAAATCGATTAGTGTCATTTTTCATTCGGTAACATTTTTTGTTGAATCGATTCATTGCAAAAGGCGAATGTTCCCAGTTCCTTGCAAATTTCTGGCAAAACCTATTTACTTGCAAGATTACTGGCAAGCCTTTTGATTACTTGCAAATTGGCAGCCCTGTCTGAACGGCCTGTGGCATTGTTGCTACCGCCGCGCAGGCACAGCGCGCCGTGCAAGAGTACATCCAGCGCTGGATTCCGTTATGGGACAGAAATAGACCAATGGAAACGTTAGTGGGCGGGGCTTGGTTATTTGCCACACTTTTTTGAATTTGTTTTTGTTGATTAATCGCATAGCAAAAACATTTAAATTTCTATTTTAAAGTGTATTTTTGTTGCTTTATTAGACTTATTAAAGCATTTAAATGTCATCAAATCGCTGTATTGAACCGAAAATAGAAAAAATGGTATGAAATACGCGAGTTAAATGAGAAACTCGAGACAAGTTGTTTTTAAAAAATGTGTTATTTAATAAAAACCGAAGTTAACAGCTCTAAGATCTACATTGGACTCAAACTAATGTACTGTTTGAGTAATATTTATAACGTTACAATAATTACAGTACACGTACATTTTTATGTGTACTAAACCTAATGTACAGGAGATGTAACTCCTCCACCCTAAGATGGACATATAAACTTTTTAAAGTTTTTATGGCCTTATATAGTAATTTCATGAATTCATTCAAATGAATATTTTGATTTTTCTTATTTTTAATAAAATAATTACTTATTTTTGGCCATAAATACCTTTTACAAATATATAAAAACTAGCATGTACCCGCGACTTCGTTCGCGTCGAATTAATCATTTGTAATGGTGATATGATAAAGCAAAGCAAGAATTTCCATTAACATACAAACTGGAGCAGAATCGTGGTTAATCAATTGCCCAACTTTTTGGAACACCCTGTATGATTTTTTAAAAAATTTCAAAATATGTAAAAAACAAAATAAATAAATAAATTATACGTGTCCAAGCATTTTCCCGAAAGACTAACCGTTTTTAAATAACAAATATTGTAATATTTGAGGGCGTTTTCACCCTCTTAGAATTTGAGATTCGAGAAACCCTTCCTTATCAACCTCTACACTCCACAGTCAATCCGTTTGCCAAAATCAGCATTAAACGTCAAGCAGCTTAAGCAGAATCGTGATTACTCAATGGTCATATTTTATGAAACACCCTGTATAAATGTTTAAAAAATCTTAAAATATGTAAAACAACAAAATAAAATATACGTGTTTAAGAATTTTTCCGAAAAACTCACCGGATTTTAAATAAAAAATATTCTAATATTTGAGGGGTGGTTTCACCCCCTTAGAATTCGAGTTTCAAAAAATACCTTCTTATCGAACCTCTACACCCTAAAGTCAATCCGTTTTCCAAAAATTAGCTTTTTACGTCAAGCGCTTTAAGTGTGTTAAGCACTTAAATCGTGATTAATCAATGACCAGATTTTTCAAAACACTGTATACATTTTTAAAAAGTCTTAAAATATGTAAAAAACAAAATAAAATATACGTATTCAAGCGTTTTTTCGGAAACTGGATCGTTTTTTAAATAAAAAATATGGTAATACTTGAGAGGTGGTTTCACCCTCTTGGAACTGAGATTTCGAAAAATCCCTTCTTATCGAACCACTACACCCTAGAATCAACCTGTATGCCAAATTGAGCTTCTTACGTTGAGTGGTTTGAGCAGGATCGTGATTAATCAGTTATATGTAAGAATTTTATATATTAGTATAGATTATTTGAGGGGCGTTTTCACCCTCTTGGAATTTGAGATTCGAGAAACCCCTTCTTATCGAACCTCTACACCACACAGTCAATCCGTTTGCCAAAAATCAGCTTTAAACGTCAAGCAGTTTAAGCAGAATGTGATTACTCAATGGCCATATTTTATGAAACACCCTGTATAAATTTTTAAAAAATCTTAAAACATGTAAAACAACAAAATAAAATATACGCGTTTAAGAGTTTTTCCGAAAAACTCACCGGTTTTTAAATAAAAATATTCTAATATTTAAGGGGTTGTTTCACACCCTTAGAATTCGAGTTTCGGAAAATCCCTTTTTATCGAACCTCTACACCCTAAAGTCAATCCGTTTTCCAAGAATCATCTTTTTACGTCAAGCATTTTAAGCAGGATCGTGATTAATCAATGACCAGATTTTTCGAAACACCCTGTATATATTTTTAAAAAATCTTAAAATATGTAAAAAAAGAAAATAAAATATACGTGTTTAAGCGTTTTTTCGGAAACTTGACCGTTTTTTAAATAAAAAATATTGTAATATTCCACCCCCCTTTTTACCCCCTTAGGGGATGAATTTAAAAAAATCCTTTCTTATCTTACGTAAACATCATAAAAGGAACCCCTGTGCAAAATTTCAGCTTTCTAGGGTCAAGGGTTTGGTCTGGGCGTTGATGAGTCAGTATCAGTCAGGACAGTCAGATTTATATATATAGATATAATAATAAGGATTATATATAGTAAAATTGTCCAAATACTTGTAGTATTAAAATGTATTGGTTTAAGAAATAAATCAATATTTTCTTTTTGAATATTGATTTGTTTTTGCAAATCATCGATTTTATTTAAATGAATATTATTTAAATTGAACAATTTTACATTGGCATATATAGGTTTATGTTTACTTTCGTTAACATTTAAGACAATATTAGGTAAAGGTATCATTTGGAATGACGTCACAGAATTTGTGTACGATTTTAAAACAATTTCTTTAAGTTTTAATTCACAATCTTTATTTAATTCAATGAAATGTGTACCTTTAAAAATAATTCGATTAATATGTTCTTTACAAGTTTCAGTAGCAATAACTTCATGTTTTGATACTAAAATATATGTATTATGATTTATATTTTGTATGTCAAAATCAATATCAACAAAGGTTATTTTACAATTAGTAATATTTTTATTATATTTAAATAATTGAACTTCACAAGGAATATTGTCATTATTAAATTTCTGAATATGTATATTTTTACACAAATATTGATTACTTACAATTTCTTTACATTTTTCATTAAAAATACCAAAATTA